TTCAAAGTGTGGAAACGGCTTGAACCTAATCAGCAAAGTTTGTTATCTTTATTGATGACAGGTTGAAAGGTTTTGAACGCAACTAGTAAGTGTTAAATCCTCTGGATCTACGACGCCGGTCGAAATAGTGTAAAAGCAGAGTTTAAGCTATTTACACCTAATGTTTCCCATTAGGTAAGATATTTGTGTTCAAAAATAATCTCAAATTAACAATGTTGAAAACATGAGTGCTGGTTATATCTATCACTCGCTCGCATCGCCCACTCGTGAGAGGTATAATTGACACAAGAAGGTAAATTCGTATCCGCAAGCGGACATGCAATCTTCTGATTATTATTGATGAGGTATAAACAATTTCAGAACACGGGAATGCACGAAATGCAGAGGTCACCCACACGTACGATCCGCTTGCTGAAATGCTTCTTCACATTCCGACAAAAAAAAAAAAACAAGTTATCTTCATGAAAAGAGGAAAAGAATCGTTAATTCAACTGTGCGTGACAAATAAAGTCACAATGTTGATAATCCCGGTAACCGTGACGAAAATGGTATCTTCACGGCGCGCGGTGAAAATATCATGTTACTGAAACATGATAGAATAAGGGGATTTCTTTCATTCGACCCAAAGCAATATCTTTTTGCGGCCTCTCATCGGTCTTTCCCAGAAGAGCTTGAAGGGCAGCATTCTTTGAGTCCGGGCACCACGAGTCAGAGCGATAAAAGTAGTATTCCAGAAATTCTGCCTTATTCCAGAGGTGAGACCTTTAGAACACTTGAGAGCTCAGAATAAAGAGCCTGTCTTCCTCGCGCTGAGTGAAAGAAAAAAGAAAAAGATTACTACATCGGAAAAAAGAGAAACGTCTTCAACAACACTTTATTGTTTCAATACTTTCAACGCTGGTTGAAAGAACAATAAACACCTGCATCATCTCTTTGCTCAGCGGCCAAAGAGGTGGCGGTTTTAATAAAGAAGATTGGTTATCAAGCTCACAGATAATTGGTACAGTGTGGTCTAGTGAGGGCCAGTTATTTCAAAAGTCTGACAGACACCCAAGTTTTAGCCATTTAATACCACGAGGTTTCCTCATTGGTAGGCTGACTGAAGTAAATGTTCTTTTTCAGTGTTAGCTAGAAGCCCTCTTAACCCTGATTAAAAAATCAACACTTGGATAAACCTTTTAGCTAAATTGTTACATTCTATCCCATATTTCCGGAGCTTATCACGATTTCTGTAGGCTGAATTAACTTGTAATATTGCTACTCGCGACAGATGGGATGCTTAGTCCATAGCAGATAAGCGTCTTGCCTAACTGCCAGAACACAAATGATCGGCTTAACATTCCAACCATGTATCTCCCAAGAAAAGAGAACGAAGATGAACGCACACGTGTAAATGAGCCTTCACACACAGAAGAAATAAGAGGTAAAGAGAGAAAGACTACAAGAAACAAACCTTTATCCATCTCAGAAGTTTGTTTATGGCAATGATAGCGTCTGGTTTTGTGACCAGTGGACTGAAGGCAGCGTACAACTCAAACCCAGATGTTACCTATCAAGAGAAGGTGCGATTTTTTAGCTTGCCGGCTTGAGTGGTTGAGAGCTTTTAAAAGTAGTAGCTGTTACTTCACAGCAAAACCAACATTTACACTATCAAGTTTTTCTTTGGCAATTAGCTGGAGAAATGTGACAAGTTTGTATAAAGAAGCACCATTGTTCTAAAACTGGCATTCTAGTTTTTAAACAAAGAATTGTAAAGGAATAAAATTGGCTATAGATTTAGAATTGTCGAGGGAATTATGACGTCTAACGAAAATTTCATAATCACAGGTTTCCCCTTAACGCTTAAAATGTGGTTTAAAACTTTTTTGCACTTTTTTAGAAGTACACTCGCTGAAGAAAACAAATTGTTTAAAAGCCCTTCATTATCAACTGACCCACAGCCAAAGCTTTGTGGAAATTATAGCGTTGTTATGATTTTCTAGGTAAAATTGTAGTTTGTTTCTCAGCGGAAGGAAGGACATCACATCAGCATATGAACTATTTCTACCGCAAAAGTTTGTCTACATTCAGCAGTCTACTCGAACGTACAATAACATGATAGAAAATGAATAACATGATAGAAAATATCTAACAACAATCCAGGTCAACAAGCTGCGAAAATCAAGATTCACTGCAAAATTTTGTTTCATTTCACAATTTATCGTGGACTTGTCACAGTATCGCTGACATGAAAATATTGAACAACAGTCCAGATCAGCATGCAGCGAAAATCGAGATTCATTGCAAAATCATGTCTCATTTCAAAATTTATCGTGGCTTTGTCAAAGTATCGTTGACATGTTTCTGAGCATCTATCCCATGGGCGGACATTGACATAGAGACTGTTTTTGTTTCTGAAGGTTTGCTTCAGTTCAAAGAATAATTTGTTTATAAGGTAACCTTCCGGTATATTCTTCCAGCCTCGAACTAATGCTATGACTTAGCAGACAAGAATCTTCCAGTTACTCCTATCTATACACACCCATCCTAACAGCATCTCTCGTACGCCCACGTGACATAAAATTTTCAGAGGCCTGGCTGGCGAGTGAATCCGATGATGCAGGTAAAGATATAAACCAAAGAGCCTGGAAACGAATACAGATATTCATTGAAAAAAAAAATCATTATTGATTAGTATGTAAGTAGAAGGCAAATGAGATATGTAGGCGGTCAAGTTATCGTGGATGCCATGTTGTTTCGTAGGACCCGTAAAACTGGGAACTAGTTAGTTGAAATGTACCAGGCGTTCCCAGAAGTTCGCACGAACCTCCAAGCAAATTCTTCACGTGAAGTCAATTTACACGTCTAAACCTCTGACTTGTGAGTCATGCATTCGGTTCTACTCCAAACTGGAGTTTGGAGTTCTTAGCCTACTGAACTATTTAGTTTCGTTAAAACTTAAGGAACAAAATACCTTTCCTGTTCTTCGGGTTCAACATAAGGAGCTTCCAGTTCAGGTGAAGTATACTGCGCCGTACTTTTAGACTTGTAAATAAAATGATACAGCTCTGGGATGCCAACCTGATCTGTAACAGAAGGGATACGAGCACAGAGTTAAACGAAAGTAACAGCATAAAACCAACAACATAAAAACGAGCTGAAAAAGAAAAAGAAAGAAAATGAATCAAACCTGTGCTATAACTCTTTTTCGCCACTGCTTCATTAATAGCCTCTAAACATCTGTACCTCTTCAAGCGCTAAAAGTTTAAAACAAGGTTAAACCTTTAACCAATGAGAGTGGCTTCTACTTTCTCCTGTTAGTATCACCCTTGAGACAGATGTAAAGGTCATGAAAATAAAAGAAATGATCGCCAACTCAAGAAGCTCCTGATTGTCAAACAGATTCTCAGTGTGGAAAGTATCAATAATAATGTTAGTAATGACAGTTAAACCCCACAAGGTTTGATAACATCCCTGTTCACCGAAACCACCCAAAATATGGCGGCATTCCGCACGAATCTGAGTCTTTCTCTTATTTGCAACAAGAACTGACTAAGAACTGACTGGACGAGGCAAACATCCAATTTCTTAAAGAAATGCAGCTCACCTCAACAGTTTTAAGTCTGGTTTCTGCTAACTCAAAGAAGGCGTCACGATCAGTGGAAAGTAACAATAAACAGGCAGGGCAGTTGTCATCCAGATAGGAGATGTGCGCGTACAGATAGCCACTGAAAACAACAACAACGAAAACATAATAAACAACGAAACATGAAACATCCATTTGGTTCTGACATTTTAGTATCTTCCACCTTGGTGCCTTGCTCACTATGGCCGAATTTGAATCTTTTTTTTCCTAACTTCGACACCCGTTAAAAAATATTCTCAAGTCGTTAGAGAGTGCTTTCCGGTGGAGGGTCGTTAAAAAAAAAATCACAACACTAACAAGAGTCAATCAGAAAAAAAGATTTGAGTCACAAAGGGTAGTTGAAAACATGGAGACGGCCCGAAGCGCAGCATGGGAAAGCGCGAGTAATCAAGCCACGATTAGTTTTACTTCTCCATCTGGTCGGTCGAGAGGTTTCTGCAAGTTTTTTTACACCAATCAAAGAGCGAATATGACTGAGCAAAAGACCAGCCTTTGAAATCACTGACTGAGGCATTCAACTGAATAACAGAAGACCGAAGGGATTGAATCCCTCTTCTTGTCCAATCCATGCTCACGACCTCTCTGATATATTTTATTACGTGTGAGTTTTACCTGTTATCAAATCGTGGCAAACAAATCGGTGTCCAGGACTCCGCAGTTTGAAAAGACGTGGATGCACTGACGAGGTTGAAGATGAGATGAAGATCTGGAGAGGACAAATAAAAAGTATCTTCAGAAACTGAGGGAGCATAAACTACGAAGCATTACCTCTCTCCTAGCTTCCATTGCGCGACCAAAAAGCTTATCAGCTGATTTCTAATCGCTGATTTCTTTTCCCTTGCTCAGGACAACAAGCTGGGAAAGTAGGACTGCAAATAATCTTGCTCAAAAGCCGGAAAGAAAAGTTTCCCAATTTTAGTGCTAGGTAACACAGATTGTACGAGAACACAGCGCGAAAGAAAGAAGACCCTAAAACGCCAATGATGACCACAGTGAGGTGAAATATGAACCACAGACTGTTATCATTGACGAATATCCTTGTAAATATCTCTCTAGTTCCTCTATTTTTGGCCGTTTTTATCTTCCACGAGCGCTCATTGAATAAGAGATGCTAAATAGGAAAGACAAAAAACTCACCTGAAGGATGCAAACTGTACTTCTTGGGTCTGATCAAGGTAATTAACTGATTGTTAGCGACCAAAATGGCAAATACGAGGTCCTGAGTAGAAAGCAGAGACAGCAAGACATTATGGCTTCCACTGGTAACATGTAATGCAGAGCAGACGCTGCATAATGATGAGCCCTGGACTCAGAACCATTGCTTTATGACCGAACAGTATGGGTCATAGTATTATATTCTTTAAACTTGGGTCAGGGACTAAACTCTTGCAAAGATTCTCTTCTACCTGGGGTATACACGGGCGCCAGAAAACGATCGTCAAAGCACCCATGATACCCCTAACCCTCCCCAGACAATTCTCCCTACCCTACTCCCCACTCAACATCTCTTATGAACTGTATACGCTTACGGCTGATGATTTCTCTTTAAAGGAATCTAAACGATACCCCAAGCTACGAATGCGTGTCACGGAAGGCTTCTCAGTTGAGTAGTCTGACACCTAATCCGTTGCAGTCACCAAGGGAGGAAAAATATGACTAGGCAACAGAAACATCAAATGAAAAATATTTAACGGCCTCTTATCATACACGACATTTCCAGAGGAAAAAGTTTTGAGTTCCAAGAACATACGGACTCAAATTCAGGTAACCGTATTTCCTTTCAGAGGACTTTTGTATGAAACTCAGGGAGCAGGTTTGCATGTTAGCAGATTGAAGATTTTGATCAGAAATAAACGATCACTCAAACAATTGTTTTAAAAAAAAAAAACTAAAATTTAATGGCTAGTTACAGAAGTTTGACACCAAAAACTCCAACTTGATGCCACTTTATTCTGATTGGAACTAATAGGCTAACGAGAGGGAAATTGCTTTCCATTTTGTTCTTCAGCGGGTGCTTTACCGAAGTAGCCACTTACTTCAAATCTTATTGAAAGCACTGAACGGCCTGAAGCGCAGGAAAACGTGAGTGACCAAGTTGTAATGGGTTTTAGAGCAGTTTTCACTTAAGTTTAGAAAAACCAAACTTTAGGAAAAAATCATGGGACAACGCGAGGGACCAAATCGTGATTGATATTAGTTTTAAATCTGATTGGCTGAGAAGGTGGCGTGAGTATTTTTGGACCAATCGAAAAGCGAAGTACAGCAACACCAGAGAAAGCATAAATTACTTTCGGCAATCAATTGAAAACTATTCTAGTTCATCATCTGATTTCTTGAGGGGGCGGCGCGACATTTCTAAACTAACTCCTGGAAATAATAAAGTAAAACCAAAGCAATGCCGGGTAACTTTCGCCAGTCGAATCGTTTAAAAATTGTACTAACAGTGACTATCGTTGTTGTTAATACCTTGACTCTTGCTTGAAGCATGCTCTGACCAATGGTTTCCCTGACAGAATATGGAAGAGGTAAACATCTCACCTAAAAGCCCCAACAATTAAAAGTTAAATGCAAGGAACTCAATTGTAGAGGTTTTACACAGGTTTTAGTACGCAAAAGTCTTTCACTTTTTCCAAACTTAACTTTCAGAACAATAATTTTCTTCTTCAATGCACGAAATGATAACATGGATGCAGTATATTTGCAAACACTCAATACCAACTGGCAAAAACACAGCCAAGAACTATGGAAACTCTCTAAATTCTACTGAAAATGAATTTTCATAGACAATGCTGTGCATGAAATAAAAATTGCAGGCCAACATTTCACCCAGTAATCAGCATTTTTTTGGTAAACTAAAAAAAAATTTAATCCTCAACTACTTGAATTTTTCCCAGACTTCATCTCTTTTTCCATTCTTTCTCCAGGTCTAGAAAGCTTTCAGATTCCATACTTAATAAAAAATTCCAAACTTCGCAAAAAATCCTTAACATATCTACAACATATCTCTGTCAAGGCATAAAACTCAGATTGAAAAAATGAGTTTCCTCTTGAGCTAATATCACCTTATCCCACAACAGCCTCAAAGATGTGTACCTTACTTCTAAAAATCATATATGTAAACTGCAGTTGAAGAAACAAATATGGAAGCGATCCGTGCAGTTACTAACACTACTTACTACATAAGTAGCAGTGAAAATAATGCCTGAAAAAAATTCAGGCTTGTACAGGATTTTAACCCATGACCCTGCGATACTGGAGCAGCCCTCAACCAACTGAGCTAGCAAGACAACTAGGAGCTGGTATCTGCAATACTTCAGCACTGCACTGGTATCGCAGAGGTCATAGGTTTAAATCCTTTTTATGGGCCTCAATTTTTTTCAGGCCTTATTTTCACCACTACTTTAGTAGTGATCATAACTATGAGGATTGCTTCTATATTCATGATAAGTCGAATCTTACAACAGTAAATTACATCATACTCACAGAGCCTAGCAGAAAGCTTGGTTCATGATCCATTAAATTCAATAAATTATCTATAAATTTTTCTGTCCCTGTAGATATAATATAGTAGATAAATGAAAATGAGTTTTGGAATTAATCAGCTGTCTGTTTTCTACTGATTAAGGCTTGGTAATCAAGACTTGCACATTAGCACTTTGATGATGTTTAACAATTTATGACTTTTCACACAGTTTTGTGATTAAGTTTATGGAAACTTTGATAAGAAAGTGCAAATTTCTTGGACATAGTCATCTCAGAACTAAATCTGGAAACAGCAAGCAATTAAGACACTGACTTCAGTTAACCATTAAAATACAGGTGAATTTTCAAGCAGTTTCTAACAAGCAAGTTTCATTAAAAAATTACACCTTGTGAAAAGAACCTTTGATCTTCAGTTCATAATGACATGTTTGTATGTGAACATGTGCATCTGTCATATCTTACCGGCCAATAGTCTTCTAAGATCATAATTTCTCCTCTGTTCCATAATTCTTGCCAATTGAGTATACGTTAAAACACTAAGGATTTGATTATAAACATAGGAGAGCTGCAGCACCAACTAGGAAAAAGAAAACTGATATCAAAAGTTATTTATATTTATCTTCGGTCAGTGGGTCTGAAGTAAAGGAAACACTAAAGCTATTTCAGGTTGAATTTTGGGGTGAATATGTTGAGAAAATAACAGTCTATCCTGACAATGAAATAGCTACAAAAGATCATACTTTTTGCCACAGTGCTTCTCTTCAGAAGGGTTCAGTCAAAAAGGACTCAGGTATGTGCTATAGCATAAAATGAATTTAAGGTCCAAATGATTTTAAACTATGGTAGAATTACCCAACCTCCTGAAGGAAACAAAAAATGGTTTGAGTTAGCCAGTGTTTTAGTTAGTTGATAGTAAATTACTGAAAAAATGGGGCCCAAGGAAAATTGGATCTTGTTTCAGTTACCAGGGGGTCAGAGTTAACTGAGTTTGGGCTAGCTAGGGTTCTACTGTAGTTTGAGACCACTTCAATTAGAATCATTCTAAACTACAACATACAGTGTATAAGTTCAATGCAGTTTATCAATAACAATAAAGAAGGAATAATAATAATAATAATAATAATGATAATGATAACAATGATGTACAAACAATAAAATCAAACCCACTTTAGGTCATTTTTTTTAAAGACATCATAACAAATTTGCTGAAGTAATTCTCTCATGAAATAAATGTGATACCTGAGTAACAGACTCTGGTGTGTAAGCCACAGCCACTAAAATAACATGTCCTCTAACTAAGAATACAAATTTATGGTCACCTGCCATAATACACCTGGAATAATAAAGACACATAAAGATTAAAATTCATCAACAAATATGAGATAAATTTTTATTAACAAAGTATATTTCTATGGTGCAGATGTATGTGCACAATGTCATGCAGCTATATTTCAAAGAAAAAAGGGGTAGTGGGACCTGTGCAATGTTTGCCTAAACTTTTATAGGCTTACAGTCTGTGCATTTTATTGTGATATCTTGGCATGAGGTCCAACTATGACCATAGTGGATCACAAGAAGTACTTCATTCTCAACTTACTTCAAAGTTTTCAAAGACATGTTTCAAAGCTGTTCTGTAAACCTATGTTTATTGACTTCAAATTAAGTGCATTGAAAATACTGACTACCTGACAACTTTGAACATCTCAGTTCTTCACTTCCTTGATTTTGATTTTCATTCAGTTAAATACAGTTTTAAAAAAGACATTTTGCTAATGTAAATGGGATGAAGGCTACAATGAGGAAAAACAGGCTGCTCCTGGTGTGTTACATCTGGTAAGAACAAACTGTAAGGTCATGACTTCCTCCTCTTACCTTATTGTATTTTTGCCAACCTGGACAAAAGAAACTAAGGCTTGCATAACACCCATCAGGGTTGCCAGTTTGTCCTCACTTCCATATCTATATTTAATCAAACAAAATTGGTCATTATGACTGATAGTAACAGTTAAATGTTAAATGTACATTAAAAACAAATTCTCTACTGAAGTTGAGGAAAAGTTAAACTGAAGCCAGAGCTGGCTAATGGATCATATTCAGAGTTTCAAATAGGTCAGCTCTACTGTATTTAAAGCAGCTTGAAGATGTGCAGTTGCAAGGAATCCCTTTGAATGTTCAGGCAGTGAAATCAGCTGTACTTTATAAAACATAAACATGGCTTTAATTGATTTTGAATATCTGAATGAATGGAAAATAGAAATTACATTTATAAATAGTGTTCAAGCACAGCCAGGGAGTTGAACCTTGAGGAGGGGTTGGTTGTGGTAGGGATTTGGGTTTGTATCTCCTCCCATTTGATCAGTATGCATACAACATAGAACAGTGCCTGGTGATACCTGGACAGTGCAGTAAATAGCTGTAGCGTGTCCTGTTCAAGCCATGTAAAGTGGAAGCATTTTCTTGAGCACTTTCCCAAGCCTTACTTTATCAATCAGCAACTTTTTAATATGCATAACTTTCACTTTAATTTGTCGAACAAATCTCTCAAATGAAATGCTTATATTAAAATTGATTATAATACCAGTAACAAAAAAAAACTTTCACCTTGAGTAAATTGGCTTTCCAGCCTCACTGAAAGCAAACACATGCTTTTTGTGCAACGTCCATTGAGGGTCGTTCACATCTTTAACATAGAAAAACAAGTTGTTTTACACTTCAATCATATATACATACCAACTATTGTCTCAAGTCATACAGTTGCATACATGATGCAATCTTAACAATATAGCTGCTCATTGTGTTTAATTTTTCTGGGCAAATTTATTAATAGAACAAATAGAACAAAGAATCCATAAGCACAAAACCAACCTTCCACTGATGCTTCTCTTCCGATTTCTAGTACACTTGCAGCTCTTGTTTTTCGAGCCTCTGCCAAAAACAAAATGACAAATGACTTCAGGAAAAAAACAAGACTGTGAAGTGAAAAATGATGAGATTTTTGAAAACCATTTAAGAATAGAACTCATTATTATGAGAACAACAACAATTGTGAGAAATTTTCACATGTTCTGCATGATGTTGTTGTGGAAATTACATTTATTTTATCATTTTAGTTTGTGGATTTGTTCCAGTTTATAATGAATTTAATGCTAGGAACTTTCTCATGGAATAATATGTGATTGGACATTACTTGAGATGAGAAATTCGCACACAATTGCATCATCACCAACATAATGCAAGATCCTTGATGGACAAGCTCAAGGCACTGGTTTTCTTTTACCTTCTTGTTCATCTTGAACACTTAATGAAGCAATTTTCTCATCAACTGAACCATCAGCCTCGCCTGGCATATCTGCTTGCCCAGGAAAAAGGGTCTCATTGAAGTTTTCATCTTCATCAACAACATCAATTTTGGGGGAGCTGCTGTTTGCTGCCTCAGGGGATCCGTGACTACTTAAACTGGAGATGAGCCCTGAAGCTAGGCTAGCATCAGAGTGAGCAGATGTTCTGGATTCAGGATCTGTACAGATTTCATCCACAGAAACATCAAGTTCCTCGTCAGGTTGGACATAGAAGAGTGGTTCTTGACCTACTGAGCTGCAAAAGAAAGAAATGGTCAAATCGGAAACACATACAATCCACGACAACATAATGGGCTCTTTGCTATTGAGATCGCCACATTTTAGAAGGGCAAACCAAATGTATTCCCGAGACCTAAAGTTACTTTCACATCCTCTCTCCTAAAACAGTGAGCGATACAAATTTTAAAACACGAAATACCCATAGATTTCAAGCTAACTTTACCGCTCTCTTTGAAAAATATTCGTTAATTTTACGACAATTCTACGCGACTTTACACTTTGTCTGACGAAAATTACAGTTTGAATCAAAAGAAATCGATCACGTTCTTTAATAAATCATAATTTGTACATACCGAGCAAATCGTATCTTCAAATCAAATCCTTTCAAAATGGGGTCTGTGCATTGGAAAAATATACATATCTTACCCAGCTCCAGGCTCAGCACCCTGTAGAACATCTTGCTCTTGTTCTTCACGCTCTACACCAGCATTCGTATCAATCGCCGCTGCCATGTAGCATTCAGTATTATCATTCTACCCATGGTATAGACTTCTCCTTTCGTTCCGCCATATTTACTAACATGAAAGCGAGGCGAAGCTGTGCAGCCACGCTTAATTCTTCCTGCAAACGGCTACCTCCCCACCCCTGTTCCATTCGTCTCATCATTCCCCAGTATACATGACAATTTGGTATTCCTGATAATGGTAAATTTTCGTTAATTTCCGTAAAGCAAAGACTCTCTAAGTCGCCTAAAATACGAATAAATAAATGGTATGAGACTCAGAAAGGGAGAAGAGAGGGGTGGGGAGGGGAGGGGAGGGTAGGAGGGTTCAATTAACAAAGTAGTGACTCCCTCGACAAGTTCCAATTTCTTATACTTTCATAGCACTTTTGATCAGAAGTTACACTTTCATATGCCTTCTATAGAAAATGTACTCCTTTCTGCACCCAAACAAAAGTAACGAAATGAAAAAGAGAATTTGGCCGAGGAAAAGACAAGAAAGCCTAAAAATTTCAGTAAGAAAAGTTCTTCAGACTAGGCATGATTATTGAGCACAGTTCTGAAGATCTAAATCAGAGGCGAGAGCGAAGCGAAAGAAAAAAAAGTTATACCTGTTCTTCTGGTTAGATATTGTCAACCTGCAATCAACTCATGACTTAAATACCGTTTCATTTGAATGACTACAAACTCGTCAGTTAGGTTAAGAAGTAAATATAATTTGGTTTAATCAACTGAGTTTATATGTAAATGGCCACCGTAAAGAGTTCACTTCCAAAGCTGACGTTTCGACCGTTAGCCCTTCGTCAGAGCGAAGAGCGAGGGGTTTTCGCTCCGACGAAGGACCAACGCTTAAACTTCAGTTTTGGAACTGAACTCTTTACGGTGGCCGATTTACATTATCACAGTAAGTTGACAAAACCAACTTATCTTGTATACGAAGCAGATCACAGTATCCCTAAAACTTCCCCCTTTTTATTCATAAGAAGTAAATATGTTCGATGTCGATGGCGAAAGTCACGAATTGTATGTAATATTATGCGAATGAAAGCTGATAGCTTGCTGTGCTGAACCCGTCTGGTAGGTTACTGCTTGAAAATCATTTTCAAGTGATAAATTTACAGTATTCAGGCTTACGCTTAATAACCTGCAGCTGCACCACTTGGCTAAGCTTAGACGCCCGGCTAAAGAAAGTAAGAATGTAGAATACCTCAAATTACAGTATTATTGTTCGATTTTACCATTAACAGGATAGATAGTTTAAATCTTTATCTTCTGCTTTATAATTATGGGTTTTTAAATATTTAATTCCTAGTGATATGACACTCATATAAACAACTGCAGTACCGTTAGACAGAAAGGTGTTACCTTGACTTGTCATTTCACAAGGGAAAAATATATACAAAAAATAATACATAACTTGTAGTATTTCTTTTTATTGGTTTTGATAACGAATTTATTTGTTATTTGAAACTGCCACCTTATTGAACCCTCCGGCCTCTCTATGAAGTATTGCCTCAATGAGGTCGCATTCAAAAAACAGTCAAATAAATAGGAAACCGGGTTTGAAGAAAAAAGAATAAAAACCTTTCAATACCAAGGCAAAGATTTCTGAATTACATTTTTTTGGTCGTTAAACTGTGTCAGAAACAGAACTCATCGAGACCCTTATCTTGTTGTTTTTGTTCAAATTTGGTTGATTGGATTGATGAGGAGTTTTCTTTCTTAAGACAAAACGTTAAAGGGAGGAATATGAAAGGCGACATGTCTGAATCCGACTTTCCCAGCTGGTTTTCTGAGATCTAAACTTTAAACTTAAAAATAAAAAGCGTCGGAGAGGAATAATTAAAAAACGCCTTAGGTTGAAATCAGGTGTTGAGTAAACTGAACTTACTACGTTGCGTAATGCATTGCGTTCGAAGGGTAATTCTGCGTCATGTAAGAGACCGAATGGAAAAAAAAAAGAATATCGTTTGCCTTGAAACCAGCAGGTGTCTAATCCATGTTATCTGTATCATACTGAGATTCTCTGAGTACAGAACTCATATAGTGATCTTTCTTCGAAAACGAATTTTCACGGGTTAGGTATCGAGAATGATCGATGGACCGGCATCAATTGAAATTGGTTCTGTTGGGTGCACTCATTTTGACGTACGTCCTGGACCGATAACAAGTTACCGTCATAACTCCCACGATCTTTGCACGAAACTTTCAAAAGGGACAATAACCTTTATTTTTATACAGCCAGTCAGTTGTTTTCATTTTCTGTCTAATTTCACAATACGACGTGACATTCTCTGAATGACGTCCGTCGGGCAAAATTTAATTGAAGTATTTTGGATGAAGTATTTTGGATTCACTTAATCCAGGCCCCTATTCATTTAGTTTTAACTTGTTTGATGAAAGCTTTGTTGATATCGCATCAAACAAAGCTTCAATGAAGAGACGTTGTGTTTCTTGTTTTCCCGCTTAGTCAGCCTTGCAGTGATGAGTGAATTAAATCACTGAAGGAGAAATGGGATCTCTTTGGCGTTCGCTTTCTCCCTCAAGTATACGAGACAAATTGTCGGCTTGCAAACGCATATTCTTATGAAAATCAGATTTAGTTTTAAAATCATTTGAAAAAGCGAACGAATTCACAGCCTCAACTAGAGCACCAGAATTTAATCGCATCATTTTTTTTGCGGAGAATGGAAATCGAAACACCTGCCTAGCATATAAAACAAATTGAATTCAAAAGGTTCACGAAATAGATTTTATCAAGACAAGACTTTTCGATTCTTTAATATATCAGTCTTAATTTGCATAATTTTTCTTTATTTCTTCCACCTTTGGTTTGCGCAAATATTACAGAAAAAAGAATGGATAGACTAGAAATGAATGTCGTGGTAAATTATTACGACAATCATTATTTATTTCACAATTCACACTAACGTAATCTGATCCTCTTAGTTTACCGGTGAAAAAAAAAGGAAGACTTGGAGGGATTTTAAGAGCATTTTGGCCATTAATAGTTTAAAAAAAAAATTTTTCGTGACAACGAAGTACTACTCTCACGGGAAATTATTGATATTAAACCATCTCTAATGATACGAGCAGTTTAACACACAGTTATTGTTTCAGATACCATTTCACAAAAGTTCCGGCCTAAGGAAAAAGCGAAAGTGGAAGAAGACACACTGTTCTATGTCTAAGGGAAAACGGGAGATAACAAAGAGTCCCTCTAGAATATCTTAACATGGCCTCTTTTTGGCTCTCGAACTGTATATGTTAGCTGCAGTACGTGATGTTAAACAAATTCGAAAATGTTGATTTTAATTTAACTGCGTGGTCGATTGATATTATTTGAAATTCAAATGATCCTACGGAAGAATAAATAAATAGTTAGATGTTCTCCAGCGGTCAAATAGTCAGGCTGAAAAAGCGGGTTTGTTTGCCAAGATTAACAGAAACATCTCACATTTAGCTAAAGAGAGGAAAAAACAAGTGCAGAACGCGGTGGAAGTTACAAAGGGAAATCGTCCGGAAGCCACAATGGAAAAAGTTGGTGAAATTCTGAATGACACAAGAAATCGCGTTATTGACAATAACTCAAGTGCAAAAAATACAACATTGCCAAGTGTCTATCCAGAAGATTCATTATTAGCGGCAATTTTCAAATGCTTGGCTTACAGCTTGATAGTTGTTTTTTCTGTCACTGGTAACTCTCTGGTCATAGCAGCTTTCAAGCTCAATGTCGACAGGAAACTTCGCACTGTTAATAATATGTTCATTGTGAGCATGGCTGCCGGAGACTTGCTCCTCACAGTGGCAAGTACACCAGAGCGAATCACAAGAATTCTGGCTGATGACCAGTGGATTATTGAAGGGAACTGGGGAGTATTCCTGTGCAAGACGAGTAATTATTTGGAAAAGCTTTTCATGAATGTTTCAGTGATACATCTAGCGATGATTGCAATAGATCGCTTTCTAGTTGTGTACTTTCCCCACAAGAAGATTATCACAGCGACAAGAGCCCGTGTTATCATTGCCATCGCTTGGTTAGGATCCGCTCTTTACTGTGTCCCTTTGTTTTATTACGCCAACTTGCTGGAGGAACACGGAAAAATTTACTGTAAAACGCGACAGTTTTTCAATAATTGGAGAGTTTGGTATTTGTTCTTCCTGTCACTGATTGTATTAACACTGTTGTTTGTAGTAACATTGTACGCGGCGATTATCATTCGACTTTGGTGTGGGAAAACGACCGAGATCGTGCAAACCCCTATAAAACGCCGTGTAAGTGCGCGAGTTAACAGGCGTGTTCTCAAAATGGTGGCCATGATAGTGATTGCCTTTTATTGCTGTATTCTTCCTTATTGGGTCGGTTGGGTGTTTTGCTCATACCATCGCAGTGAGCTCATTTGTAATGATACCTATGTATTTGTTGCAATTTTCCTCATGTATGCAAATAGTGCGGTTAATCCGGTCATTTATGCCTTTTTCAATGATACCTTCAGAGTTGGTTTTCGATTTATCATGAAGACGTCCAGAAGATGTTGTTTTAGCTCTAAGAACTTGAGTACGGATACGGCACAAGATGAATTTATAGGAAGAAACCGGAGCAGTAGAAAATCAAGCGAAATCCCATGCCAAGAACTAAAAGAACTTAATTCTAAAAAACATTCATGCATATATGTTTAGGGCCGACTTAGAAGTCTTCCTATTCCGGTACAATAGATGAAAGTTGTTAAAGCATTGATTCATTTACCTGGAGAAAGATTTTTTCAGGTTCATGATTATTGAGAAACATGTGTTTTGAAAGAGCACTCAGAGAAAGCCAAAATGTTTTCTTTTTTCGCGAATTCTGGGTCTGAACGATTAAATGAAGCCGAATATCAGTATTCATATGTTAAAATGGCAGAAAAACGTTATCATGCAACATTGCGTGATGTCGGTCTACCGACGAAAACGACTTGATATTATCTTAAGGAAGAGCATCGTGCTGAAATTACGGTCGGAGGACAATTTATCCGACGTTCGAATTAATGATGATTTAATTGTTCTAAGTCATCCTGTGTAGGCAGATGGGGGGTTTTTCATGTCATAGCTCTCATTGTTTGCAAAGCTCTCTTCTCAAGAAGCCAAAGTGTTTGCCAAATAATAAGCAAGGTTGGAAAGAAGAGAAAACCAGGATGAATTTGTAAATGTGTCCTCTTAGACTGTAAGGTCTGATTATTTAAACAACGTTTAGCCGTTTTTTAACGAAACTGAACATTTGTTATTGTGAGCAGTGACAAGTGGGCTGGAAGCAAACAGTGGAAGGACATTTATTTGATTCAATCAACCCACTTATAGAGGAAGCCTTAGGCCGACTGTTTGCGTAAAACCTTGGTTTGAGTAAGCCGGCCCTCAAAGTGCAATCTGATCCAAGCTTAGATAGATCTAAAATGAATGTTCTAGGAGGTGTGGGCAAACTTGGCATTAATTAGCCAACTTTCGTGGCACGACATACACATTGCGCAAAAGTCAGCTCATTTTTTTTTTATTTTTGTCATTACACAATCGAAATTTGAAACAATTAAATGATATCAGACCGCTGACGTTGACACTCTCGGCGGGAAAACCTTCAGTCTATAATCAGCATCACACCCAGAATCGAAGTGTGCGCAAGCGCACGATCCAACAACTCTTACCCACAAGACTCTCTCCTCTTAGCCTGTTTTGATCAGAATGGTACATAAACCCAAGAATTAGCGTTTGCTTTAATATGTTCACTATAGAAGCCTCAGATAGAGAGTGAGGAAAACCAACAAGGAAGGTTATTGTCTCGATATCAATTCGTCCTTTAAAGCCAATGGCAAGGGCTGCGAACAGCAATATGACATCAAGCCGGATAGAATTTTGAATCATTCCTCATTGACAACACAAACATATCATACTCATTCAACCCTGACATTGTTCAGATAGACTGGAGCAGCAGGTTTTCATTCAATTCTTGGGAAATGATTATATCTCTTTATCACAATGTGGATTATTGTTTTCAGCGATTTGAATCAGTTAAGCAGAGTGATTGAAACAACTGATTTTAAAAAAAATTATATTGTTAATTTAACCCCTGCAAGCTCTTGCAGTTGAAAGATGAAATCGAGGTGTAGATTACAATGAAGACAACTACTCGACAGGTTATTTTTCCGGTAAATTTGTCCACATCTCTTAAGGGAATCACACATATTCTCTCGATATGCGTTGCGGCGCAAATGGCAGAAGTCTTGATTTCATATTAAGGTACCAATTTAATTAATTTAATCGCTATCTGCTTTCAGAAAAGTGACGATGCGCTCAAATGTGATTAATACACAATTGAATATTCGCTGTTTTCCTTTTTCGTCTTTGTCAGGTGTCACTTTTCAAACCTAACAGTCAAAATCCACGCGGTAATTGAAATCCTTGAAAAACGTGGTTGGAGTTCAGATCCCTTTTAACCTGATCGAAAGCAAATACAGGAACTTTTATAAAGATGCTGCTTCCCACAGAGATTTCCTTTATTCATAACATCTACTTAATTTCTGGGCCATTTTCCAATCGTATTAATAATAAATGTTTGTCTGAGGCGGAATGTTAAATGTGTAATTTGCCTATCGAATAAGAGGTTTTCCTCTGTGCAAATATTTTACTAAATTCAAATTCTGCAGGTAAGTGGTGTGATGTTGCAGGAAGACCCATCGTGGTACCAAATCTGTGATGAAATATAACTAAGAGCAGAGAATCAGCAGTTAAATACGTTTAACATTTTACTTTTTCATTTTACTTAGTGAAAGGAGAGGGGAAGTGGTTAACAACAGAAGCACGCGAACAAGAAACGTCAATCTATGAGAGTGAAGGACTTCATTGTGGCGGGAAATGAATGATCTTGGCACTGGAAACACAACCTCGCCCCCGAATATCTACGCAGGCGATTCGCCTATAGAGAAATCTTTTAAATGTTTAGCTTATGGTGTGGTTGTTGCACTGTCTGTCATCGGTAACACATTGATTATCTTTGCCTTTAAGCTTAATATTGATGGAAAACTCCGCACGGTCAATAATACGTTCATTGTGAGCATGGCTGCTGGAGACCTTCTTCTCACAGTGGCTAGCACGCCAGAGAGAATCACAAGAATTCTGGCTAACGAGCGATGGATTATCCATGGAAACTGGGGAATATTCTTGTGCAAGACGACCAACTACATGGAGAAGCTTTGTATGAACGTTTCAGTGATTCATCTGGCAATGATTGCTATAGACCGGTTTGTGGCTGTTTGTTATCCCCGGAGGAGAATCATTACAGCGAAAAGGGCTCGCTTTATTATTGCAACCGCTTGGTTTGGTTCAGCTGTTTATTGTGTCCCTCTGTTTTATTACGCAAATTTGTTAGTGAGCAATGAGAATGTTTTCTGTAAAACGCGACATTTTTTTATCAACTGGCGAATTTGGTATTTGTTTTTCCTGTCATTGCTCGTGCTAACACTGCTTGTTGTGGTCGGACTTTACGCTGCGATTATTATTCGTCTCTGGCGTGGAGAAAGAGGACCCAGAATTCGGATGTCATTCCGAAGCCGTACAAACGCGCGAATCAACGTCCGTGTTCTCAAAATGGTAGCCATGATAGTTTTTGTATTTTACTGTTGTATTTTACCCTACTGGATCGGCTGGGTATTCTGTTCGTATTATCGCAACGACCTCATTTGTAGCGACACCTACGTGTTCGTGGTAGTTTTTCTGATGTATTCCAACAGCGCATTCAACCCAGCGATTTACTCGTTTTTCAACCATAATTTTCGTCGGAGCTTTCGTTTTATTCTAAACAAGCTGTGTAAATGTTGTTTTACCAACAGAGCGCTTTACATTCAGCCAGAACCGAAACCAATTTACGTCATTGGCAGAGGTTTGCAAGATTGTGAGGGAACCGACAAGAAGACGGTGCAATTCATTTCCATCCAGAATCTACAGTGACATTGACATGAAAATCAGCAATTTGCGCAGTAGAATTTGTTAAACTTATCCTGAAATTTCTTGCATTAAAACCAACAGGGAACGAAATTATGCTACTTAGAATGAAATGAAAACGAACCTCCTTGATGATCCTAAAGCAGTTTTGTCACCCGAAGTTTTTCGTCGTAATTGCATCGTATGTATCATGGAGGTAAAAAATCACTGAGCGGTCCGGGTTGATTGGCGATACTCCTGAGTGTATGTAATAAATACTAATCAAAATTTGAACAGTTTTGTTAGAAGTCATGAGAAAAACTAACGAATTGACAAATACATCATGCTCTCTGATATTTAGTAGGATTTGAGAGCAAATACGAAACAGCCTGATTAAACTAATTCGAACGACGTGGTTGCAATTTAGTGAAAGACGAAATTTGCAAAAAAAAGTTGAAAATCCTTTATGAATGCTGTTTATTATTGGGATTGCAGACTTAACAGAGATTTATATTAACATAAAACCCTTAACATAATTTGAGTTCAAAAAAATATTTAAATCGCCATTATTGAGTTTCAATCTACAACTTCCTGTTTACTAATCCTTACTGTTATTAGAGTTCAGTCGTTTCTGTTTCTAGAGTTGAATAGTTCCACCATTGCGTTGTGTATCAAAATAAAGCACACTCAATTAAGGCTTGAACGAGTAGAATAGTTTTTCGCCGTTTAATTCTATCTGGGCCTTAGGCCGCAAAAGAGGCGCAATTTTTTTTCCGTTTTTCAGGCGAACGCAGGCAAACTCGAGGAGAGCACACGCGCGAGTCACGCGTTGGGAGTGAGGCACACAAAAAAATGACAAACAAGATACCGGTAGTTTTTCGTTTTTGCGCCCCTCGCGGGCGATTCACACTTCGCGTCAGCCACGCGCTTGCCTTGGACTTAAAAAATGCAAAAGACTATCACGTCTGTCCTGCGGGCTATTTAGACCTTGTTATACTCTTCAGGAGAAAATGAAAATAAGTGGTCGTCTTATTTCCTTTTGGTTTTCAAGTCTGACAAACATTGGTGTGTCAATCTTATTACTATTCCTAATTCTGGTTTTCAAAGCGTGAAGCACTATTTCTCATGAACAGGATGCGATTCTGTCGCAAATAGCAACCCAGCAATATTCGCTGGTACTCTTCGGCTGAGAGAAACGCTGTACGATTGAAGTGTCTCGCCTAAGAACACAGCACAGTGACCCTTCCAGGGCCCATACTCGGTCCTCTCTTTCTGAAGTCCTCGGCACTAAACTACCGGGTTTCCTACTTAAGGCTCACGAGTTCCAAAAAAAAAAAAAGAATGTAAAGGGACGCAACATTAGCACAACAGTGAGAAATGACAGCATAACAAAGGTAATGGCGATAAAAGAAAGTCTCAGCTCAATCAAATTACCGAGCATAAACTTCCCATTTGTCTCCTCGCGATAGAGAATTCACGCCACCATGGTCATCGCACCAAAATTGCCCTGGTGGACGAAAGGAAAATGCTCTCATGTCCGATTTCCACTCAGCGACAAGCCGGTAAATCCTGTTAGCTCCATGGTGTGAATAAGAGCCCCACTGGTTCATCTCCAGGACTGTGTCATTGTAGGCCCCCCACTTGTCACAGTTGTTGGACAGTGTGGAATTATCATCCGGGAGTGTATCAAAAGAGTCACATGCTGTAGCTGGTTTGCTGGGATTTTCCAAGAAATACTCAAGTACCTTATAGCCGGCGGAATCGTTTTTTGTCATGACGTGGAAAACGCTGTCCTGTTGTTTCTTGAAGCAATACCACCGAAGCTGATGAAAATTGATTGCTTGTCGAAGTTCTCGGATTCCCATGATCGAAACGAACACATAGTCGTCCGTATAGTTTGAAATAGCAATATAGTTGCTAACCATCTGCATGGTCTTAGTTGAAAGGTCAGAAAGATTTGCCGGAATTTTCGTGCGTTTTAGTAAAGTCCATCCACCTATAACATCGTGAGGGATAAACCACAATACAGTTAAGATCCAAAAATTACCCTGAAAAATAAACATTGGCAACGAAGAAAAACCTCAAGACAGTAGTCAAACACCAGGTTTAAAAGGACACCTCAAAATGGGGATTGTAAAACAAGGAAAATGCAATAGTTGTCCACATTTGAATAAACGGTTTTGGGAAAATAGAATTGAGTCAGACAAAATATGGAAATGTATGCATGAAGCAGTTTACAGCTTTTCAAATAGGAATGGGCTCAGTTACTTCCGCTGTACAATAACTGTTCGAGCTTTGTTTGTTATGAAAATTCAATGAAGCCAGCTCACTAGACACATAATTTCTTTGTCTTTGGCTAAAAAGGCTTCGACCTAATTCACGTAATCATATTCGAAATCGGGCCCTCTAATGGATAAGAACATACCCCATAGGCTTCTTTTCAAAGTTGTGTTACTGATTAGCCAAGTGAGTGAGTTTGCTCGATACGTGACTTATTCAAGCTTGCTATTTGGGAGCAACAAGTCTTCCAATTTTCTTACCTTACAATTGCATATTTCACTCGTACTTCAGACGTGAGGGTTTTAACCAGTTTCTCGTTCAAGAGTTTTTTTCGTGAAATTTTTGTCCAATATTATTAACCTGTGACAGTTATAATTTAGTAGTACGTGTTCCAAGCTTTTGTCCAAGAGTCCAACACGATAACTTCTTTAAATTTTTTAACTTCAGTTTTCACGCCTCAAGATTTTGATTCAGAAATAGTAGATCAAATCGTAATAACTGTCCTACCTCCATCAGTTGTCATGTCACAGTACACTACAAAAGAGTCGCTGGACGTTCTGGGTGCAATCCAGTACTCTCCATCCGTCAGTAATTCACCCCGCTTGTCTGCAATGTCCTTGCAAGATAGTCCTGGATTGCTCCTATGGCTTCCTAAGGCTTCCATTTCGTCGCCTGAGAAGAAATCATGGTTACTTATCTCAGACACTTAGTTAAGAAAAAGCACCTCATGCAGATCTTTTTATTGGTCTTCAGAAAACACTGTACGGGAAATGTTTCTGATATTCGTCGTGAATTAGTGTATCACAGATTCACGCAATACAACGTAAATGTACGTTTCATAGGAGGAACAGGTTGTTTTTTTTCCCTTGCTTTAAATTTAAAGCGAGAATTATTTTTAGGACTTTTTTTTGTGAGCTTATTTGGTCAGACACCAGATGACTCGCTCATGCACGCCCACCAAGAATTTGGCAACTTCTCATCCTGTGGAATCTCAGTGAAAACCGAGATACGGCCAACATTTTGTTCAACTATGCCCATTAATCAGTGCATGCAAGGTAATATATTTTTCTTACTTATACTTACACTTGTTAATTAATTTCTAGCAAACGTGAAATGATTTTTCTCCAAAAGTGAATTTTTTTAAACCAAATAAACTCTTTAAACGATCATTTTCTAATTACTCCAATTTCTAAGAGCGCGCTTTGCTTGTCCTCGATCAGCAAAGAAGTGCTTGACTTAGATTTTTTAGGGCCAGCTATAATTTCTGGTTAACTTTTTACTGTTTTCGCTGTCTGATTTCATGATAACAAAACATGATTGGAGGCCATACCTATTCATCCTAGGGAAAGACCAGTTCTTAAAAAGTATAATTGCTACGTGCTACCGAAGTATGAGCGTTGAAAACTTACCAGCGTACGAAACACTATTTAATTGCTGACAAGTGTTCCCTTGGTAGCCAATGGGACATAGACATTTATAGATTCCGCGCTTGTAATCAGGAACACACTTCCCTCCGTTTTTGCATGGGAAACGTGCACAAGGCGTCTAGAAAAGGTAAGGTTTAAAGCGTTTACCATAAATCGGCTGAGTTATTGTTCATTGATTAATTTGCATTTTTACACTCTACACTTTAAGATTGGTGTGCAATTTCTCTTTACTGTTCTTTACTTGTTTCCTTTGGTACCGACAAGAAGAATTTTTTCAACAATCGAGAGCATCTTACGTTGGTGATAATTTCCTTATTTTCGCGATCGTAATGTTTGATTTAAGGGTAATAGATGGGTAATACTGTAGAGAGGAATTAGATGCTATACAGACCTATCTAAGGGTTTGAAAATCTCCACCTATCGTTAACCAGCTTAAGTAATAATCGTCCTTTGAAAAGGGAAGTGAGAAAAGATTCTTATTGTTGGCTTTGCTTTCTGCATGTTCAAATTTTAATACCAGTGTGTCGCGTTTCATATCTATTTTATCTAGAGAGAAGATTAAATCTTCGTCCAAGTTTATTTGAGGCTGTTGATAAAAAGTAAACTAAATAAATGTAAAATGGGGATTTCGGTGGAAAATGTTCTCGATAATTCTCTTGTCGAATACGTGCGCATCTGAGACACAGCAATCTGCACGACTGATGATAACGATTACTTACCAATTTACTCCAGTGGTGAAATTCCTCGCTGCGCTTGAAATGATGTGGGACGTTATACAGACCTTCAGACAAGAGCTCGCACAGAATTCCTGCCCGGTGCAATAATGCTTCCTCTATATTGAATGATAAGCACGAGGCAAGTCGTGCACATCTCAGGGCACACTCGCTAATCAAACCCACAAAGAAGGTCGAAAGTTTCCCCACATTAAGGAGATGGTTTTTGTGTTCGATAAAGTACGAAAATACTTCATTTGCGCCAATTGATAACCGAGTGTTGTCATTTTCTTTCATTGCAAGTATTGTGTATGTTTGTGTACCACAAATTATAGCGCACGCAACGACAACGATGAATCGAAGAGGGGACATTATTAGATGCGGCAAGTCATTACTGTAAAGAACGAACAGTGTTAAACTTGTGAAAAGGCTTCACAAAATTCTGTTTTCGCACCTGGTCTTAGTCTAAGAGGCAATAAATGTATTTTTAAGATTCTGTTAATAACAATGTAAGCCAACAAAACTTTCTTTTTGTACTTCAATAATAGATCTTTCAAAAACAACTTATAAAGAAAGAGACCTAAATTGCCCTCGTTTTTCGTTATTGAAAACAGTCACAGCTATAAAAATAAAATTCCTATTCAACAACAAAGGCCCTTGATGAATGAATGAAAACTGCAGCTGTCCATCTTTTGTGGAAATCAATGTATTGCTCTTTTATTTGAAATTTCTCAATTGTTGGTTGATGCGAGGCAAGTTTTAAGAATCATATTAGGAACTGTTGTCATTCCTAATCCATAAATGGTAGCTCAGATGAGTCGAAATCTTTTAAGAAAGACCAATCATGATCTAAAATTTCGATCACCGAATACCGTTAAAAATATCTTACCTGTCCTTCTCGCAACCTTTGTTTCAAGATACGTTACTTTAATTACAATTTCTTTCCATAGTGCACTATAATTGATTGTCTCCCTGCTGGAGTCTCAAAAATCGGATACAGAATCCGTAATAAAATTTTCACAAGTCATTCGCTCTCAGGTAATGCATATTTTTTACAGGAATAATCGGTACTCAGACAAACGGAACACCCCCCCCCCAACCTTTAAAAAAGGTGGGGGGGGGAGGGCTGCGAAATAATTTAAGTCAAGTAATGCATGCTGCTGGTTTTCATTTGGGCAACCAATAAAACTACTACTTATTTGATGCTATCTTACGCTGACAAGGAAATTTTAAAAAATGTATACGGCAAGTCCACGTATCAGGAAAAATAGACAGGATATTCATATAGATTTATTTACAATTTTTAATTTTTATTTATTGCAGAAATAAAAATAAGGAAAATTAAGGTTTGTAACTTGAGACAAGAGTTTGTAATCTCTTGCTTGAGATTTAGTGTACAAAAAATAAGAGAAAATTTAGTAAGAAATTTTTCTGCCTATTTCTAATATTCGGCTCCTTGTTGTACACAAAAAGAAATAAAAATTGAAAATAGAACGAGTAAGATGTTCTGTTGGAACAACTTATTTTCAGGTTCATTATGCATGTGCATTATAAGTATATTTTATGAAATTCAATTCCAAGAAGGAAAGTGTATTAATACTTTGTGAATTCAGACGTGGTTGATTTAAACGGTAAAATGCCAAAAAAAATAGGCCCTTTACGAGATCCCTTGTTTTATAACGAAGTTTACAGTTGCACTAAGCCTCGTTTTGAAAGTTAGGGGAAAAGCACGACGAATGGTGGCTTTGTGTTCGTTGAATCGTTTGAGAAAGACAAGATCCTTGCTCAAAATTCTAGCTCGCTCTCAGTTGGTGAACCAATCCCCTCGTCGGTTGTTTGCCCACCAACTGACATCTCAGCCAATTCGCTAAGAGTATTTTTACTTTCCTTGTGATGTAATGGACTCCATTCAAGGGGTGAGGATCTGAACATTGATGACGCAGGCGTTACCGGGGGAACCGTGCACGAATTGCACAAGTGATACCATCTCCTTGGATTCTCTGGGGAATACCTCAGTGTCTCTGGAGAGTTCGGTAAGGGTGGAAAACTTTTGTGGTGGTTCAGATCACGAAGAGGATAAAATTTGTAGGTGGGAGAGATGCTGGTGTAACGCTTTTGTAGTTCTTCTTTCTCAGGAACTATCTTTCCTTTGCTTTTCTCGCTCTCAAGGCCAAAGTACTTCGCACACTTTGCGATGCAATATGTAGGGCCTTCGTTATCCCACGTTTTGTATTTCAATAAATTTAATTCGCCCCTTGTTGGTAAATCACGCGACTCGCATGGTCGAAAGCCACCGTTGACAAAAATATTTTGCCAATCAATGTCACCATTAGTTTTAATTGCAAAAGAGTCTCTTTGGACTTTAGATTGTCTGCGGATGTAAACTTCTTCATCCGGTGTTTTCTCAACTTTGGAGGGTGACGTATCTGTTAGGGGTGGTAGACGATTGACTTCGTCGCCTCTTTTATGGTTGCTCAGTAGCTTTGGAATCTGAGATACACTACTTAGAGTCTGACTTGCCGAATCACTTGTGGTAGGTCCTTCCATGGCTCTACCCGCGTCCAAAATTCGACCAAACAATTCCCCCTCTATTTTGCTATCTTCTCTCTGTCTTGTTTCATTAATATTGCCCGTCTCTTTGCCGCACTGTTTAACAAACTTCTCGAAGTATTCAACAGGATCATAACTGGATTGTCTCGTTCGTTTCACTCTCGAATGGACAGGTTTACAATTCACATGTAATTCGGGGAGTATTACATTCCCTTTGTCAAATATACTGGATTTGTTCTGAGAGAGCAGTTTTGCCCAGCTGCTGTGACGCAGTTTGGGTTTACCAATTGATATTCCAGGAAGATGCTTTGTTGAGCCGTCATCGTGCGATTTCATCTCCCAATAATGTCAATTCTTCTCTGTTGTCTTTAAATCCTGCTTTTATTGTAGGGTTCAAACATACCTGTAGAAATAGGGAAAGAGTATGTTTGCGATAAAATAGCTGTTTAAGACACGCCCATATCTATCCCGATGTTAAAGGAAATTCTTTCCTGGTAAGGAAATGTTCATTGCAGTTGAGCTAAAATAAAAGAAATTGCAAAACGATGCCCGGCCTAAAAATTTAATTCAGCCATCATTTTTTTGGCAATTTTGGAATACTTTCTCTTGACAGATGCGGTTATTGATACAGATTTTTGGTGAGTTATGATCAGTTCTAGTTAACTAAAATATTTAAATCCCACAAGACTTGTATACACTAATTTCCTCCGCCGAAAATTTAAAATGAGAGCTCCGTGACTTTGTCGACCGATACAACTTTTGCCTAACTACCTATGCTGGACGCAAACTGAAGAACTGAAGAACTATCTTTCATACATGTATGCTTCGCAAGAAAAAAGGACAGGTTTTTTGTCGAGTACAGACCATTCCAAGCGTGTATAACTTGTGCTGACACTGCCCTCCTTCCCCCCGCACCAACACACACGCTACGTACACACAACCGCCTTGAACAAAGCCAAGTTATTGCTTTCTCAGTTAATTGTAAAAAGATATTTTATGTATCTCACAACATAAAAACCTCATTTGGGCTTTCTTGACTTCTCGCTTACCTAGACTTATCACGATAACAAGAATTCGTTATCAACCACATGAACTACTCGTCTGACCATAGAGGTTTCATGGTTTTTTAAATCGGTAAACACAGTTAAAAAGGTTGTCCCACTGGCTTGCGTGTTATCATTCGTTTGTTTTCATTCATTAAGTTGTCTGAGACATCAAACAATCTGAAGGTGTGTTCGTCAAAGCCTACTGTCGTCGGCAAAAATACCGACTTTCGACAAAATTTGAGCCTCAATATGTAGATATGTAGCAAAGAGATCTCAGTTGACTGAGCAGGGAAGCTCACACAGGTTGTTATTATTCGACTTTATCCATGCAAACAGATAATTGACTAAATTGTTTTGTCTAATTAAAGTCAACTAATTTTCAGAGGCCTCTAACTTATCTTGGCTATTTTACGTGGGCTCCACTGTACGTCAGTGGTTTGAAATAAAATATCAAAGTTGAACAAAACCATACAAGAATCTTTGGATTATCTTTCTGTTCTACGCCAGTCTTCCTAATCTTTTAATTGCTTTATAAAACTATGAAAATTGTGCGTTCAATTTTGAATTACATTAGTCTTACCTTTTTTCAAGGAGTGTCTTGATACAGACATCCTAGTTTCTCTTCTTAGTTTGATACAGTGAAGAAAATTTGACTGTTGTCGTCACAGCGCCGTGTTCTATTTCTCCTTAAGTGTAAGTGACTCGTTGCTAAGGGGTAGCCTTAAGATTTTACACGCTTGATATCACAAAAGAAATGAGTCTAACAAATAACGCCTAATTTACAATTAATGCGATATTGCCTTGTTGCATACAATAGACCGTACAGTAAAAAAAAGGCAATCGAAACACACAAATCCCAGGGGTTATGACGTTTTTACTTCTCAAGAGAAATTAATCAGCGGGAAACCATTATGTTGTTGACTTAAAAAACTGTCTCTATTCAAACGTCTTTAGGGTATAATTTCGTCCTAATCTTACTAAAACAAATATAGGTAATCTGTCCAACTGTGATCAGTGAAGCACAGTTAACTCCACACTGTGAATTGATAAAGGCATTATTGGGGGTATTGGTTTATAGTTTCTATTTTCGCGTGAGCCTGATAATGCTCACGGTCATTAGTGAAACTTGTCATTGAAAGCTTTCACCTTCTATTACTTTCGGTATATGATGTATACTAGAATGATCTAAAAAAATACTGGAATGATAAAAGTACATCGCATGTTACCATACGCATTTATGTCAGGTTTAGCTTTTCAGTGTATATTTTCTGTGAGTTGCTCGAATCACGATCATATCTGAGCCAGATTTAAATACCAAGACGGTTTAAAGAAAAAAAATGTTAATTGGGTTTTGAATCCTTCATCGAAAGTGGAGAGCTTATTTCGGATCTAACGGCAAGCGCATTGTAATGGAGCTAAATTGCTCTTAAAATGGTTGAGGTCCAATAAAATTTTACCACAACTATCATTAAAATCGCGATCAGATATAATTTTGTTTTTTTTTTGTTTTTTTTTTGCATACTTTTAACAGTTATTCGTAACGTAGCATATAAATGTCTCCATATAAAAAGGCTCTTCTCAGTCATTCATATGTACACTGTGCAGACCTAGTTTTAAGAAGGCTTGGCTACCAAAAGTTTCCCAGCACACCTCGCAGCCCGACGTACTTTAGCCGGCCATATTGGAAGGAGTCGACACCGTACGACCATGATTTCTCGGTTACGTTTAGCCACCAGAATTGGTAAGTCTTTATTCTTGAAGTCGGTGATGCTTCTGAAAAGGTTTTAAGACTTATTCATTACGTATTATTTCAACGGTTTTGTCATTTTTGCACGCTAAACGATGAACCTCCCGCACCAAAACTGCTAAGCAAGTATTGGGTCGTGAAATTGACACACAGCATAATAATATTAATCTTTTGAAATTGTCGTTTGTACCCCTGCAACTGATGTATTAAATGTGGATCTAGACGAAGTTACTACTGCTTTTGATAAGCCTTCATAATCGCGTAGATCTAAGTCATACGGTATGGGATAATTGTTAATGATTACTCTCGACTTCGATCTGAATTTATTATGCATTCTCTTTGCCTTTGCAGTAAGTATATTGCTTTGGTGGCCATAAACTTTTACTTCAGTACATTTACCTGTATGTAAACATTGTATCCGGCGCAGGATACTGTATGAGGCCTATTTTGTTGCACAATAGTTGATGTGTACGTAAATTTGACCGAATGATCATGTATCGTTCCATTCGTTGCAGTGTTGATGATATTTACATGTATCATGTTGCCTCTTAGGTGGTGCAGCCAGGCTCTTAGCTCATGCAAAACCAAGGTAAGCTTTTATTTGATCTTGGAAATTGACAAAGGGTCTAAACATGCAACTTGATCCTACCGCTTTTCAATATTCAGTTGTAATTACAAAATGTAGTTTGAGTTAATTTTTTAAATTCATTCTTAGTTTGCCTGCCACCACAAGACTGATGTGTCAGGTTCCTGCCCAACAAACGGAAGGTAATGTATACGGTACTTAGCAGAGTGCTTTCATATTCAGTTTTAGATCAGTTTCAACATCTTGAGACATTTGAGTAGGGCTTATGAATTTCCCAGTCAATGTTCAGTGGGTTATGTAGAACCACCATTATATATGAAAGTTTATTATAAACTAGTTCTGGTATGGTAATGCAGAACAGTGCTGTACTTAGAGCTGTGTCTCGGAGATAGCCATGGAATACCTCCTTGAGTTAGCTTTGTTGAGTTGGTCATGTATGTTTATGTTTAGTTAAAATTTGGTGACAACAATTTAAGTTTGATTTTGTTTATCATTTAGATAAACCTCAGGAGTTTGGTCAGTTCTATAGAGATATCAGCAGTTTGTTGAAGGAGAAGACTGGGGAGACTGGTAAGACGAAAGAATGTAGCACACATAGTTATTATTTTCAGTTATAGAACATGCATTTATTGTTCTCAGTGGCAGTTTGATAAAGACAATTAAAAGTTGAACTTAAGAATCATTGTGTTAAGGGCATCAGTTAGCTTCACTTAAATTTCCCTTAACTTAAAGTGCTAGATTTGACCCTATCAACAGTCTGATGACAACTGCAGTTAGACCTTATACCGTAAGAAAGATACATGTAATTAATACTATCTTCATATGTATTTTATTTTTAGGCCACAAACTTTTGGCTGGTGGATTCCTCACCTACATCCTTTCAAAAGAAATACTCATCCTTCATGACGAGGTGCTTATGCAACAGTGGGCATACCCCTCTTGTTTTTATTTTAGTTGAATTTGTTCCTTGGTTACAATCCTTTTCTCTTATGTAGTGGTTGTCACTGTAATTTGAAACAGATGGAAATCTCTTGTTTGAACTTATACATACCATGGAAAAAATGAAACCATAACAAATTCATATGTTACATTGTGTTTTAAGTTCATTCTTGGTCTAAAGTTATCTATCATAATGTAAAAGAAAGGAAAAGAGAATTATACCCTGTTCACACCATCAAAACATGTCTAATTAAACAAAGTTTAATGAAACCATGTTTAATTAAACATGGTTAACTGATCAACCTGTTCACACTGAACAGCAAGAGCTGACAACAATGCAGCCTTGTGTTCATGCTCAGCCTCGCGTTTGTGTAATTGTAATTGACATAAAATGTTACAACATCATACAGTCTCAACATGTAAAATGCAAGCAAAATGGTGGATGGGCAAAATATTGAGCTGTTGTTTTGGAAAACACAGAGAGAAGAAAGCCGGCTTCTTCTTTGGTGTGGCATTTCCCGTCTTAGCACATTCTTCTTTGTAGCTTCTATAGGCACTTATCAGAGTGTAAATTCGTGTCTTGTGGCTGCCATTGTCTCTGTCTTTGTAGCCTGCAGCTCAAAGATATGCCACAATTTCTCGCCATGTAGGCTTTTTTCTTGTGCATGATTTTAGCTGGAGCTGGATATTCTCATCTCCCCACTTTTCAAGTAACAGGAGGGTTTCTTTGTGCTCCCAAACTCTTTTGTGCGTTTTGTTTTCTGCCACCATTTTGAATGTTTTATTAAACACAATTGTTTAACTACCTTTCAAGGTAGTTTTGTTAAACACAGTTTTAGACGTGTTTTGTTAAATGTACCTGCAGTGTGAACAGCCAGTCTTATTAAATCTGTTCATCAAAACAAATTTTTAACATGTTTAAGCTTTGGTGTGAATGGGGTATTAGAAGAATCGCACTGCTTTAGCAAATTGGAAACCAAGAAACAATTTTAAGTGCAACATATTAGTGTTGGCGTGTGTTGTATATAGGAGTACTTTTAACCCCTTTGGATCAAACATAGTCAAAAAAAGAAAGGAAATGATCACTAACTGAAGCAGCTCTTGATTGTTAAACAAGTTCTCCTTGTCAACACCGTAGGAAATGCATAGAGAAGAGTGCAGAAAATATGCACACTGATGTTAGGGTGTGAAGGTTTTCATGAAGAGATACAATAGATTCTTACACTGATAAGACAAACATGGTTTGGGGCACTTTATGCTTGTGCAGACTAACTTTAAAATTGTAATTCCTTGAAATGAATAATTGTTCACTCACTTTTTCAGAGAGTTTCACTATTAACCATTGAGACCTGAAGAGTGTGAGAGTAAACACCTCCAAATAACATGTTACAGAACAGTGACAGCAATGCTAATGTTATTTTTCAGACTCTTCTTGCTGTTGTGATGTTCGGCACTATGTATTGGGTCTATTTAAAAGTTTCTCAGCCAGTTGCAGATTTCCTAGACAGTTATTCTCAAGTGAGTCATGTTTACAGAGATACTGAGTCTTTTGTACACATGTTATGCTACTAATTCTGCTGCGTTGTTCAATGGTTGTGGAAGGTTGAGTACATGCCACAAATTCATTTCTCAATTGATCAATTGATCATTTGTTTTTGGGTGCATTAATTTGAAACTAAAATCCAAGCAGTTGGCCAAATCAAATGAATGAAAGCCAAATTTCAAAATATTTTAACTTGTAATAATTTTAAAAGGACTTAAGGTTGAGAAGCTGAAACTGTGACAATACATGTCAAATTTTCACAGGGAATCTTAGCTAGATTCAATGGATATAAAGAGAAGCGCATTGAGATGTTGACTAGCACCATTGAGGAGGCCAGCCAGGTTGAGTACCTGCATTCTGCCAGGACAGACATTGTGGAAATTATGAGGGTAAGATGGCTAAATGGTTAAAGATGGTTAAAATTTTTGTTCACATTATGTCCATGTGAACTTTACAGAACTTTACTGTTGTCTATTTGTATTGGTTGAATGTTTTTTCTTTGAAATTGATATTATAATACCTAAGATTTCATCTTTTGATGAGTTGGTTGGAAATTCTTTCTTTTTGTGTGAATGCGTTTAAAATAACCAACTTGCAATGCTCCAAGCTGAGCTTTTTTAAAGAGACCATCAGGTGGCAGGTGTCCTAGGCAAGCAACATTTGGAATAAACTTCTTTATGCCATTTTGTTCATGGTACGGCCTTCATACATACTTTCTATTTCTTCATTTTTTTAAATAGGAAAATAATGCCATGTCTCTTGAGCTGAAGTATCGAAACAGGCTGCATGAAGTTGCTAGAGAAGTCACCAAACGCTTGGTATTTATCATTCTTACGTTTTTATGTATTGTTGACTGTTGTTGTAGGAATGTTGTGACCATTGCAGAAGTATTTTTGTGTCCAAAAACAAACAAACAAAAAAAGAATTTAAAACAATTTGATTTCAAAGAAAAAAAAATTGCTCCCTTGGGTAAATTTAGTTGTAGAGGATAGCCTACTTACAGCTGTGACTTTTTTTTTTTGTGGTCATGAACAAATAATTTTGCATACAGAACCATAACACGCAACTCTTTAAACCCTAAGAGTGACCAGCATCTAATTTCTCCATTAATTATCATCCCTGAATCAAAAATTAAGGTCACAAGAATCAGGGAAATGATCACCAGCTAAAGGAACTCTTGATTGTCCAACAAATTCTCCTTGTTGGTGCCTCAGGAAATTTATATAGAACTGTGAGGAGAATGTGCATACTGATGTCAGGGTGTAAAGAGTTAAATTGAGTAGTGTGGAGCACTGTTATGGGTCCCTGTCACTTAATTTGAGAGCTTGAAATGAAGATTGTGATAGTTACCTTTAGTGTGAGCTCTATTCTACTGAGACTAAGGGCAGATATACGTGAAAACATTATTTCCCAAAAAGAATAAGTAATCTTCTACTTCTTTGAAGTACACAGTGGCTTTAGTTGGCTTTCAGGAAATATCCATGCCCAACCTAAGGAAGGTCTTGAAAATTGTAGTGCAGATGGAAACCTTAAGGGCTAAATCTACAAGATGATCATAAGAGGGTAGTGGTAGTTCTCTAAACCAAAAAGTTTTAGATCAGTGGACTTCATTTCAAGCCTAAGTGGAAAGCAGGGGTCATTAGTAACTTTAAGTCAGGTAATTCCTTTGAAGTCAAAGCCAGTTGCTCTTGAGAAACTTAGGAAACTTCTCTTTTTTCTGTTTTTTTTTTTCATTTCTAATGCACAGGATTATCAGGCAGAGATTGAAGCTTTCCATCGAAGGAATGCTCAAGCACACATTGTTGATTGGGTGGAAAAAGAAGTTGTCAAGAGTATTTCACCTCAGTTGGTATGTATGGAAAACTGAAATTATTACTTTTGATTTAACAATAACTTTCCCAACATCTTTTTCCAGTTGGGGAAACTGGTGAACTGCAATTCATTTGGGCACTTGTGTAAGCCATCCTGGTAAAAAAGGTTTCAGTGTTGGCTTATTACTGTAAGGAGTAGAGTATGATTTACTTTTGCTTCTTTTAATTGAAATTTCATTGGATTTTTATAATCCTTGTCAACCCTGGGTTTCACAAGTCTTTTTTTTGCACATGGTAGTAAGCTTTGGGTAAAGGCTCAACCCAAAACATATGATCTGCTCTACTGTTTTTGGGGTCAGTTAAACAAAATCAACCTACCTAGTGAATGAAATGAAGAATGCTGAATGGAATCCAATTGTGCAAATCAGTGATAAATATGGCACTGAATTTTGGTGAAGTTCATGGCCCTTTTCATGGAATTTAGTGGTTCATATTTTCATAGGAGACTCATGTAATACTCCTTGCACTGACAGGGTCTGGCATCCATACCAATCCTTCTTTAAAACCCTTTAAAAACCTTTATTCTCAAGAAAAAATAATTGACTTTCATTTTCTGAATTTCTCACAGGAAAAGGAAAGTGTTAGCCAGTGTATTAGAGACCTAAAGGCTATGGCACCAGCTTGAAAGGAGTGTGGTTCATTACCAGATTTAACAAACATTGGGCCTACTTTTTGTGAATATAAATTTTTGTTGTTTTGATTGTAACCCTTGGGTCATAATGGCAACTCTGAAATAAAGATGCGATAATTTTAAAATTGTGTACTGTCATTTCTTTTCTGCCTTAATTAGTACTTGATTCAGTGATGATAAAAGTTGCTCTTCTGGAGAAAATACCAGAACCTATAAATATTTGGTTGTTGAGGCATTGTGTTCCATGCTGTTCCTCATCTTCCATCAAGTTTTTCAGATTATAAATTATTGTTGAGTTGAATTTCATATAGCTTGTATTTCAACTTTACTGGGTTGCTACACTTTAACCCTAAAGCAAATAGTACAATACTCAACTATAACAATAATATTAGAATTACAATGCTGAAAATTATTTTAACTTATTAACTGCAATATCTCGCATAATATACCAAAAATAAGCTTGAAAATTTTCATCTTTGTGAAGGAAATTGATTAACATAATGAAAGTGACTATGTTTACAGCCATATATTACTCTTCATGTACATTTCAGTTATTACACCAAATAAAATTTGAAATTATCATGAATTTGCTCCTTATTAATTATGTGGGTTCCAAACTAAAGCTATTAAAGTACATATCACTGTTTCATTTTAAGATACGACAAGAAGTAAAGGAAGTCTCATTAATAATACCATACAAATATTTGAAACTATTATAGCCATAACTAAATAATGTCATAAATTAGGTACACTCTATTCATTATCCAATTTGTTTGCAAAGATGTTTCATTTGATTGTGTATTTCTGGCAAAGTATGTAACTCTAGGTATAATACTTTAAACTATTCAAGTCAACAACTGCATATAAACCAGTAGATTCAATTTTCCACCATTTTGACAATTTACTTGAGTAATGCTTTAAGTAGAGAGGGAGAGAGAGAGTTTCATGAATACAAAATTGTGTGAATGCTGATGATCAATGATGCTATTACAGTGGAGTGAGAGATGCAAATTGTGTGAATACTGAAAATCAATGATGCTATTATAATGGTGTGAAAGATGCAAATTATGTGAATACTGATGATCAATGATGCTATTACAGAGGAGTGAAAGATGCAAATATTTGGGAAGATACTATTCTAAACACTAATTTAAGCAAGAATGATTTTTGAACTATTTTCTTTAGAGGAAATGGTAAAGTAATCAAAACCTTATGAAAGTCTTGCCATCATGCAAAACTTCCCAGTCAGAATAACAAAATTAAACCTTCCTACACAAACCTTCATGAAGTGACAAGTACATACACCACTATCATTTTAGCAAATGTAAAAATAAAATACAATTGTATCATGAATCCTGGTTTAAAAAAATTTAGGTGATTTTCTCCACAAATTTTCTGTAATTCACTGACCAACAAAAATTGAATTTCGTCTTCTGCTGTCAATGACATCAAAAATTCTTGAAGCTATGGGTTTATCTGCAGTGCTACCATTTTCATTAATCTCCAAGGCACTTTTCAATTCAGCAATCTGAGAATCAGAAAGGTTACCATTGTGGTACACAGTCACCCATTTATCATCCTTACGAACAAATTGACCTACGCGCACATCAAGGACAAACCCAACTCCATGATCAACTTTATCAGCCACATTACTTCTCCCTGCACCAAGCTTGTGACTCACTTTTGCGAGGACAAGAGCATCAATAACAGTCACAATTCCACTCTTGTCTACAAGAAGGTCAAATCTTTTGGCAGCAATGGGTAAGATACTGAAGGGATCTGCATCTCGGGTACAGAGATTTTTAGCCAAATCTGGCGAGACTCCCTGTGCTTTCAGCATGTCACAGAATTTTTGAAGAGCTTTTCCATTTTCCAGTGCATCTGCAATGAGTTTTGCACCAGCTTTCTGTGATTCTGCTTTGTTTAAAGCTTCAAGTATGTAACCACCTGAAGGAAATCAAACGTTGTCTTAAATTGAAAATATAGGCATAGATTATATACAAGTTTCCAAAAGCTACCAAAGAATTGTCAAGAACGCTTTAAGGTTTACATAAAACCAGTAACTTATATTTCAGTTGCTATGAATAAATTCTAGCTTCACATTCATGGCAAGGCCTTTTGTCAATTGTTTCCAGGTCATTGGGTTCAGTTAGGTGGGAGGAGGAAAACTGATCAAGAAACCCTGGAGAAAGATCTCTTTGGAGTAAGGACAAGAACCTAAACGGCACACACGGCTGCACTATACCAGCCTACCACCATACTTGCCTTGTTCAATCACAAGTTCTTTCAAATCTTCAGGGCCCCTTCCATTCAGACAGCTGATGGCTTCTGCAACCTCCACACTGTTACCTATAGCTTTTCCCAATGGTGCATCCATGGTGGTGATCAGGGCCACTGCCTTGATGCCTAAACCAACGCATATACCAACCATGGTCTGAGCAAGAGCCTTAGCTCTCTCCTCCGTGGTTGCAAAGGCTGCTTTGCCAACTTTTACATCCAGCACAAGGGCTGATGGGTTTTCTGATAGGAGGTGACAAAAAAAAAGGTCAATTTGACATTATCACTGGTATCATGCAATTATTGGATGAGGTTGACCGTGATATCGTGAATTATTAATGCCAAGATCTTAGTTATCTACCTGAGCTAAAGGTTAAGGTAGATAACACAGACAAGAGGTTTGATAATTCAAGATATCCAGTGAAAACCACATTTTGTAATTATTTTATAATACAAATTTTAAACAATCATCAATAGAAGACACTTCTCCCTGAGTTTGCAAAAGTTTGAGAACACTGCACATGATGACCCAGTATCTGCTGAAAATATTGGGTTATCATATAAACTTCACACTCTATTGTATATTGACTGTATGCTCTCCACCAATCAGAGTTCCATGGTAAGTCTGACATGAAAATCTTTATAACTGACAAAGTGATCTTTTTCTGATAAAGAGCCACCCACCCCTTTTGACCATTGCCTTGCCTCATATCAGATGCTGGTTTTTCCTACCATATTCCAAGCCAAGCATTATACCATTATATCAATTTTTTCCTTTCTGCCTGTTTTTCTACTAGTAATTTAATGGAATCAAGTTTATTTTCTCCCAGTCTGATTCTCCAACCTTATACTCAGGCAAGAGAGCCAACACCTTTAGAATCCAATTTGAGGATAGAATGGCCAGTAAAAGATTGATAAATTATCTCCTTCCAAAGGACAAATGGCCATAACCAAAGTTTGATATGAATGGTACCAAGCGTATCATAGATCATGTGATCA